GAGAATTGTACGACACGAGTTAATGATCCCGTACCTATCTCTCAACTCTTTTTCCTCGTCCTACGTCGCCTTCCTCCACCGGTGTTTATGCCGAATGCTCGGTTGGACAATTTCCCAGCTCATTTGAGAGCAATTATTGTTGATATATTAAAACCCAAATAGGCCTTCAAAAGACCATAAAAAATATTAATAATAATAGAAATTTTATAATTTAAAAATTTTATCATTAAATATGAAAAGAATGCAAAAACAAAAATATAAATTATAAAAGTCGTCGGTGGCCGGTGGTGGTGATCAGTGGTGGTAGCTGGTGGTGGTGGTCGGTGGTAAATGGTGACCGGTGATAGTGACTATGGTGATTAATAAATTAAAAAATATAGATTTATAAGTTTTATCAATGTCCGGAAAATGATTTACTCTCTCGAAAATGGGAAGTTGTTTTCCATAAAAAATGACTTAATTTTCTTTTGACCAAGAAAATATTTTCCGTTGACTTATTTTTCTGAACGCTTCAAACAACGAAAAATTCTGAAAAATATTTTGCTGTAAGTTATTTTACAGAAACTAACGGAGCCTTATTATCAATGACTTTTTTTTGTCAAGATTGGAAATGACTCGGGACCAATTGAACCAGATTAAAATTGGTTTTATAGCCCTTAATCTCAGAATTGTCAATTATGCACAGGCTACATCAACCACTTCAAGAGCTCTCTTTCTTCCAAACAAAAAATAAGGGCAGCCAGGCAAGCCCATGTTTATCTGGAAAAGAAATTGAAAAAAGTACAATACGATTCATGTGATTTGCGAAATACAATTAATTTATAGTTACTTTCATCAGATTATAAGGATATTCCGTTCAATTTTTACATCTTTTCCGCTAAGTACCTCATGAAATGACGAAAATATCCTTTTATTTTAAAAAACATAGGAACAAAATAGTTATATTTTCCAAACCATAGAAATCATAGTGTAATTTTTTTGGTATAATATTTTAGTAAACTCTCCTATGACCTCTATGCTTTCCTGTTAACTTATGAAAAAAATGCAAAAATTAGACAAAAGGATCTAATAATATAACGGAAACAATACGGAAAAATTAATATATTTTAAAAAAGACAGAAATGCACTAATTGTATTTCGTAAACCGCAAAAATCGTAATCTAATTTTTCTAAAGATATCTGCCACACAATATAAATCTAAAGACTATATTTGCTCAACTTTTTAACATAGGATTCAGTATTTTGACATCAGTCAAAACACTATCTTTGTTATTTGTAGCCTTGGGTGTGACTTAGCATTTTTGTTAGTATTTAAAGCTTGAAGTTGTAAATTATGAAACTTTAAACAGTTACATTTACTAAAACAACTAACTTACAAAAAAAGATTGAAAGAGAAAATGATCTACTCAACTTTTTTACTCGCCTTCCTAGTTGTTTATGCCGAGGTGGACAATTAGTCACTTTAAATTATTGAAATAAAAAATAATTAGCAGTAAACAATGGATTCAGTGCAATTTTTTTTCCAAAGATATTTATCTCAGGAAGAAAATATTTTTTTAATCCGATATTCATATCAAAAAGAGATATATATTTTAGTCTGATTAGTTTTCTTACTTATGTTACTTTCGACCATAAGAGTTTTCACTTTTAATAAATAAAAGAAAAGGCTGCCCGTATTTTTTACTCCATAATACTTTTTCACTCGAACCTATGAATGAATAAAGAAAAAGAAGGGACACATTTACTTAATTAAGGAAAACAAAGACATGCAAGAAGTAATTGTATGCTATCTGAAATTCTATAATTTCCTCCAACGAAGATTGAAGGGACCACTTAATAGAAATCTTGTACAAGGTAGAAATATTTTAGTGAGACAAGGATCAAATGTCAAAGCAACAATAATGTACTAAATATGAGAATCTAGCTATATATATAGTTCAATAAATATATGAAAATTTATTTCAAAAAGAAATAAATATATGAAAATATTTTATAAAATTAAATCAATTTGCCAGTTCATACAATGTGTTCACACTTAAGTTGAAAGAAAGAAAAACATTAGTGTTTCCAGCTACTCAACTGCATCTGAGTTGTCCTTAGCTCACTCCACCATTTTATGTAATGTCTGCACATGTATGAGAAAGCAAATCATGTTTCATGTTTTTCATTACCTATCAAATGGACTCTCCAGTAGATAAACCATTAGAACGATTCATTGTTTTACTATATGAAAGCTGATATGCATAAGAAAAATTAATTAATTAATTAATTCTTGAGTATTGAATGATAGAAAAATTATTAACTAAAAAAAAATAAAAGAAAGAAAGATGATGGATCTAATGAAATAGATTAATAAAAACAAAAATAGACTTTCAAGATAGCAAATAGAAAACCCAGAAAATCTTGTAGTTTAAATAGCATCCAAATCTTTATTTATTTTAAATATATTGAAAATCCTGATTCAAATTTGAAAAAATTTTAATTATCAAGCTCACTAGATTGATTTTAATGGAGTTTAAATTTGACAGAAAGAAATTTGAACAAGCAATAAATGATTAGGTAATTTCAATTGAAATTCTTTCACTTTCTTTTTAAAGAATTATCTGATTGAAGTTGGGGTAATATAGTGTAATAATTTATCAGTTCACTCATACACTGATACACAACTATCATGTACATATATACATACACTCCACTGTCAGTGTACTTTGCTTGACGAACAAACATCTACTCTAAATAATAATGCCAATATGTGATTTTCTTTACAGTCTCCAGTCTGGAAATGTTGCCTCTGGAGGAGACCCTAAACCAAGAAATTATTATGTTATGTGCACAGAATACTTGTAAAATACCAACCCTTAAATCTTTTTGTTTTGTCCTTTTCTTTTTTTCCCAAGGAAAATAACAATTTCGAGTTCGATCGCCCTTCTTTGGCTATATATAGTTTCACTTATCTTCTTCTCATTTCGTAACTAATATATCTTTAGCTTCTCCTTACACTAACTATCAGAATTTAGGGTTACAATTTGCAAGAAAGAAACACACCATATGGCTTTCTCTACATATATTGTAACTGTTTCACTTCTTCTTGTCTCTCTTACGCTCCTCCATCTTTCAGAAGCTTTACATAACTACGATTTGCAGATTAGCGTGAATGAAGCATTGGTACCTTCGGATGCGGCTGCGCCTGCACCTGCAGCTTCAGGTTCAAGGCAGAGCATAGACTGTGGAGAGGCATGTAAATGTAGGTGCAAATTATCAAAAAGGCCAAATCTGTGCAAGCAGTCATGTGGGAGTTGCTGTGCGAAGTGCAATTGTGTGCCTCAGGGCACTTATGGCAATCTTGAGTTTTGTCCTTGCTATGCTTACCATACCACTCGTAATCACACTTTTAAATGTCCTTGAATTTAATATTAAGCTCCTTCTGTTTTTCTATTCTATTATTCTTCATTCTACTTCTCTATGTTATGAAATTTGTCAAATTTTGTTTTTGATACTTGTTTCTTTTCCTCAATTTGTTGTACTTGTCAATTTTTTTTTCTTAATAATAATTAATGAGTTTCTTATAATCTCCATTTAAATTATTGCGTTGTTTTACAATTTTCATTTTTTTCATAGAGCAAAAAAATGAATAATAATTTGTTAAATTTTCTTTTACACCACTATTCTATTATTTTATTCCGATTTTACCCCTACTTAGGTATCTCCACTAAACTTTATATACCTCAATTAAATGAGCAATAATTAAAGGATAAATCTGATGAAAGCCAAAAAGGAACTGATCAGGGTTTTCACAAAAAAAAAAAAAAAGAACAGGAACTGAGGGAATAATATGTTGTTTGATGATGTCAAAACCTTAGAAAAAATTATGGTTATATGCGTAAACTCATCCTTGATATTGTTACTTTGACCGTATAACACCCTAAAATTTTATCTTGATCCATTGAACATTTTAATTTATAAAAATATACATATTCAACATATCAACTTTCAAAGTTATTTTATTGAACACTTTAACTTATAAAATTAAATAAAAAACATATATTAGATTAATGAAAATGTGAAAATTCTTGTTTTAAAATTTGTGCTAACCACAATTTTATTTAGTTACTTGCCTAGACCGGGTTTATAGTCATGCTTTATGGTAACAGTAAACATTCTTCAAAAAGTGTTTTGACTTTATCCCCCTTTTTTTCTCAGTATATAGAAATACCATCGTTTCAATAAAAAAACTCTATTCTCATTAGTTTGGTCCATAAGTAAGACCATGGACCCAGTCTACATAAAATTTTTCCTTAAATAAATATTTGGTATAAAGACTCTAAAAACTATTATTATCAACCTTGGTAATTTTAGCGGCAGAGTAGATCTCCCTCAAGTTGAAAATATTTTATCAAATCAAATCAGTTCATACATTTTGTGCTCAAAGAAAAAAAGAAAAAGAAAACACTTGTGTTTCTACCTACTCAACTACTGCATCTGAGTTGTACTTAGCTCACTCAACATATTTTATGTAATCCAAGTCCAACTATCCAAAGTGTACACATGCTCATATATATGGAGGAGCATATCATGTTTCATGTTTTTTTATGTCCTATCAAATCATGGATACTCCACTAGATCAACATAAATCAATTATTCAAGCACACTCAATAATAATGAAGTTCAAATTTTTGATTCATTGAAATACAGTATGTTCTGATTCGCATTGAACCAGTTGCCATAGTCAGTGTACTTTGCTTGAAGAACAAACATCTAAACAATAAAAATATGAATGTGTGATTTTCTTTTTAGTCTTTGATGCAGTCTCCAGTCTGGCAATGTCGCCTTTGGAGGACAAAATAATCATGCATTTATGTGAACAAAATACCTGTAAAATGTAAATTATACCAACCCTTCTTTTTGTTTTTTTAAAATAATAATAATAATAATAATAATAATAATAATAATAATAATAATTTCCACCACCCTTCTTTGGCTATATATAATTTCACCAATCTTCTTGTTCTAGCATCTCATTCTCCTTTCTCATATGGCTTTCTCAAGATATACTGTCACTGTTTCACTTCTTCTTGTCTCTCTTACGCTCCTCCATCTTTCAGAAGCTTTACATAACTACGATTTGCAGATTAGCTTGAATGAAGCATTGGCACCTTCGCCTGCACCTGCACCTGTAGCTTCAGGTTCAAAGCTGAGCATAGACTGTGGAGAGGCATGTAAAGGAAGGTGCAAACTATCAAAAAGGCCAAATCTATGCAAAAGGTCATGTGGGAGTTGCTGTGCCAAGTGCAATTGTGTGCCTCCAGGCACTTATGGCAATCTTGAGTTTTGCCCTTGCTATGCTAGCCTTACCACTCGCAACCACACCCGTAAATGTCCTTGAAATCATAAAGATCCCTTCATTTTACTTTCCTACGTTTTAAAAATATTTGTTTCTTTTCCTTCTTTTGTTGTACTTGGTTTTTGTTTTCTTTTTTACTTAATGATAATTAAAGAGTTTCTTTTTCCTTAATCTATTGTAACGTTAGACTCTTGATTTTCTTTAATCTCTCCATTTAAATTATTACATTAATGAGTTTCTGAAAAAAATGTAATTATTGCACACTTTGCATGTGCATATAATAAAAAGAAATTATTCATGAGCTGCACTCTTCTTTCTTTTCTTAGAGTATTTATTTTTACCTGATGTGATAAAATAAAAGTATTAGAAGGATTAGAAGGTTCAAATGTACATAAATAATTTTTAAGATGCTCAATAATAATAATTAAAATAAACAAATTCAAGGACCCATGAAAGAGAAGTGTGTCAAGAATCTTGATCATCAACATTTATTTCTGATTGTTATCATCATCATCATCAATGACAAAAATCAATCTTTCAATTTCTCAAACATAATTTTCAGTGTCAAATCCCAAAATGTAGTAAAAAGAAATAGCAAAATAATCAAAATCCCAATTCCCAACCAACTGTAGTGTGTCATGAGGTAGACACTAACTAACCCTCCCCCACACAAATAAATTCCTTTCAATCTTCTTCTTCTTCTTCTTCCATACGAAACCTGAGATGCTTCCCTTTGGGTGTTGGCAAACCCTTCAAATGTAGAATACTTGGAGAAGAACAAGCACAACCCATTACTTCTTCTTCAACAATCTCATCATCACTGTTATAACTAAACCTTTTATGCTTTCCTTCAAATATAGCAGCTGCCATTGAATTATTTGTCTCAGTTACACTAATCTTTCCAATTCCTTCACATAACGCATCCAGTAAATCATCTTCTTCATAATAGTCATCGCAGCAGAAATCTTCTTCTTCTTCTATTTCTTCCATTTCTTCTTCTCCATCATGAGTGCTTGCATTAACTTGAACAGACCAATTAGAAGCACTGTCATAATCATCTTTTGTTGGTGATGCTTTTTTTTCTTTGCAAGTAGTCACCACAGATGTACATTCTTCTGATAATGCAGAATCACAGACTTCTGATTTCTCAGAGACAGAGAAATCTAACAGTAATGATCTTGTTAGACTCTTTTGTGACTCAATGCTGCTTTCTTCTTTCTTACCATCAAATATCTCACTCACCACCTGCCATTCACATTTGCAATGCCATTTTTTCAATCAAAATACACATAATCCACAAGATTATATATGCAATAATGGCATTATGGTGCTACTAATTCTAATATTTAAGGAAAAATCTCAGAAAAAAATAATATAAATTTTCACAATTTGTATCGAAGATGGAATTGAAAATTGAAATAAAATGGATTATCAATTAAGAACTACAAACATAAAAAAAATTGATCAATACTAAAAGTATATCTATAAAATAAGAAGAATAGTTTATTTCTAATTCTTACTGTATCTATTCTTTATGTTTTCTAGTTTCAAGATTGAAGAAAATATAATAGGTATATATTAAAGAGAGAACATAAATTTAATTTCAAAGTACTTCCAAGATTCCCAACAAACCAACAAAAAAAAAGAAAAGGCAAAATTAAAACAAACCTGACAAATCTTCATTTGTTCTTCAATTACAGGCAGGGGAGTAACATTAACGCCATTGTTGCTATTAAGAATTTGATCATCTCCAGAGAAATTAGGGATTTGTGGTGTATTAGCAGGAGTTGGAGCAAGAAGAACCATTGGAGAAGCAGAAAATCCTTGAATTTGGAGAAAAGGACGATTCTCTAATGAAATCTTTGATAGTTCAGCTTCTTCTTCAACTTTCTGCAATAGTGTTTTCACTTGACCTCGAAGCAATGCCTCTCCAGACCCAGGTGTACTGTTACAGTTCTTTGCTTTACTAATGCTTCTTTGCTTTGCTATGGCTGATAATGGAGTCTCTAAGCTTCCCATAGCAAGTCCAACAATTGGTGAATCATTTGTTATATCGATTAGCACCGATCGATCTTGTTTTTGTGTTGTACCTCTTGATTTTCTAGATTTTGAAACACTTTTCTCCGAATCTTCAATTTTTCCTGAAAAATACCCAATTTTGTCAACCAAAAAAAAAAATAAAATAAAGAAATCTTGTCAAAGGTCAGAATCCTATATTCATGAATTGATAAAGAAATAATCAAAGATTGTAAAACCCTAATTTGAAATAATCAGAATCTTTGTTGAATTTGATAAAGAAAGAATCAAAGAATCTAATGCTAATTAATCAGAATCAAAGATTTGAAATTTTTTTAATTAACAGAATAAGAAAGAATTTGAAATCACTCACTTGACATAGGAATGTTGTTGTTATTGCTATTGCTAAGGGCAGCAAGAGTCTGCGATCTTGTGACTCTTTTGGTTGACGATGGGGTCTCCATTGAAGAAGAAGCTTAAAATTCAAGAAGATGATTTTGATTTTTGCGAAGAGAAAGAAAGAAAGCAAAAGCAGAGATTCCAAGTGAAAAGACAAAGGTGATGTTTTTTGAGGCAAAGTTGAGAGGGTTTATAAAAGGGAAATTTGGTGAGAGAAGTTTAAACGGTCACATGACCGTTAGAGCGCACGCAAATGTATGAATCATCCATTTGAGGAAAGAAAAATTTTGAAAAAATATAACTAGCCGTTAGGGCTTATCTCCGGTATTATTATTGAGTTTTTCCCTTTGTTTTTTTTTTTTCCCTGGATTCAAACTTTCAAGGATTTTGAAGAAGAAGAAAGAAAAACAAATAATCAAAATTTATTTTTCAGGTTAAGAAAAATGACTAAATCTTCATTCAACCAATTTTTAAAAATTTTATTAAGTTGAGCAATTCTTTTTCAGTCCTTTCAATTTTAGTAATCGAAATCTTATTTTGTAAATTTTATTCTATCAATTGAACATAATATTCACCAACAACAAAAAAAACAACACAAAACGAAAAAGGAAAGCATTCCGGTGTAATTTTTGCATTTTGTTTAAATCCTTGTGGGCATTTGCTAATATGGCAAATTGATCGTATCATTTATTAGTTGATAGTCAATTTATTTATTTTTTTTTTAAGAAAAAGAAAAATTTCACTTTGAATTTTTTCGAATAATTGCAATTTATTTTAAATCAGACTTTTGTACCTTAGACACACTTGAATTTACCAACCGTTGCAATTATGCTGCACCCTAAAAATAAATTACAATATCATAAACTTATCGATTGGTTGCAGTTACACTCGAAAAGTACAATAAAATTTGAAATTTTAATTAAAATAATGTAAAAATTAATTCCATAACCAATTCAAGTATTTAAAAAATAAATAATAAAATCAAATCTAAGTGTTCATATAATAAATAAATAAATAATCAAGATTTCGTCTTTAGTTTTAAAATAACCAATTTTAAGATGAATAATGAGTTGAATATCTATCTACGTAAAATATATAAAAATAGAAACTTGGAAGCTTACATGGTATAAACTTAGAGATTTAATGTGTTGACTTGGCATTATTTTTTTTTAACATTTTTAATTTAATTAATATTTTTTATATTTATAATATTGTCATAAATTTAATTCATTATGGTAAATAATAGTTATTAAATAGTTATATTAAATAAAATCTAGAGTAATTGTATTAATGACATCAAAATTAATAGTTAAAGAATTGAAAATGCAACCTACTCATAAGGAATTTCGAGGATTTTCCATTTTCAATATTAAAAGTTTTATTGTTAAGAATCATCATTTCCAACTTTATGTTTTATATTTACTTTTATTACAGTTTCTTCCTATCATTTTTGTTTTAATTTTTTAATTTAATTTAAATGATAAGATTTCAAAGACTCTGTGTGTTATAACTTGCATTACTTTTACAAACTTTTATTTAAATTCACAAAATTTTATTTAAAAGGAAAAGTAATTATTTCTTTTCTTGACATTTAAGTAGCCCTCGAATTTTATGTAATATATAACTCATTCTTAACATTTAACTCCATCTAATAAGAAAATTAGAAGTTCCTTCCTCCAGATATAGGGTATTTTATATTAACTTAAAATGAAAGTACTAAAATACCCCCTCCCTTGCCGTCATAGACCACCGTGACATTGCAAGGGAGGGAAAGAGAAGTCAGAGCCCACAATTCTCATGCCTCTCTCTTGCATGCCCCATTCCCCTTTCCATGTGATATTCGACCTGACCTGACCCATCACTATCCATTCTCTTCTTTCATCCATTCATATCAGCTGATTCTCGCATCGTAAGCGGCTTGACGAGAACGCTGCTATTGATGATCTTAGAAACATTGGGCTTGCCATTGACTTGCTCCGCCTCGATGATACTCCTCCGTGTCACCATTGGGGAATCTCTCTGATAATGGAAAGAATCCTAATCCTCTTCATCTGAAAAATGGTAATTTCATGCCTCTGTAATATCTAAACGAGAATACTCTAAGAGCTGATAATGATCCAAACGGTGATGGACGTTTACTCCAAAAGCTACCTCTCCGATAAACGAGAATAAGAAAACACGGCCGTTGAATCAATGCTTTGCTTGGTTGTAATTATTGAAATTATTGTTGTTTCTTCTCAAATGAAGGTTCCTCCTCAATGCATGGCGTAATCTCCGTCACCGGTTGTCGTGGTGGATTAATGGTCCATATCTGAGTTGAAAGTTTGTGAAGGGCTTAATGGAGTATTGGAGCAAGGAGATGGAGGTGTCCAATGATTGGCAGGGCTGGTGGGCCTGGTGGAAGATGGCGTGTACTTTTTTAATTTTAATTTTTTTAAGCTAAGTGCTAAAAAGTGGTCCACGAGAGGGGTGTTTTAGTACTTTTATTTTAAATTAAAGGCAAAATACCCTGTATTAGGATGAGAAGACATTTTAATTAGAGGTGTTAAATCTCTAGAATGAGTTATATATTATATAAATTGTATGGCTCTAAATATAGTAAATCTAACAAACGCAATAATTATTTTCCTTATTTAAAATTCTAAAATTCACATTATATGTCAATACAATCTAAAATAAAAATATTTCATAAATTTAAAATACACACAAATTAATTCTACCTTTCACCATTCAAGTAACAAAAAAAAAAAAAAAAAAAAAAAAAAAAAAAAAAAAAAAAAAAAAAAAAAAAAAAGCCAACATCCTTCTTAATTCTCCATCAAAAATAATAATAATATTTCACAACCTGCACAGCGCACGGGCTCCTGATTAGTTAATTCAAGATTACACTTCCTAGGATGACAAAATGCGTACAATGATTCCTTTGCCACCAGTGACCATCATTTAATTTCCTACAACTGGAGAAAGATAATAAGTTGAAGAACAAAAGAGGCAAAATGATTTATTTTTTCTTTTAATTCAAATGTTATGTTTTGCATTTAACTAAATTTGAATTGGTTATGGAACCCATTTTTACATTATTTTAAATAAAATTCCAATTTTAATTTACTTTTAGGGTGCTATTATAAAAAATCAATAAATTCAGGGCATTGTAATTCACTTTTACAGTGTAATTGCACCCTGAAAATAAATTAGAGTGTAACTGCAACTAGATTAATAAATTTAAGGTGCTTATGGTACAAAAATTGCTTTAAAATAAAATTGCAACTATTTAAAAAGTTAGCCCTTTTAAAAAATAACTTAATTTTAGAAAACCTTTCAAAAAAGAACTTTTGTTGTGAAAATATTTTCTAAACTATTCATTTTATGCTATCTGATGCAATATTGAAAATTAGTTAAAAAATATTAAGATTTTTATTTATAAAATTATAACAATATTTAAAATTGTAAAAAATTTAGCTCTATTATTTATGAAAAATAATTTATCTTTGAAAATATTTTTCAAAATTTTTTTTTCTTTTATTAAAAATTAGTGAAAAAAATTAAAACTTTTATAATTACGTTTTAAAGTCATATTCTCAAATTGTTGAACATAAGAAAAAATCCATAAAAAATAATAAACGGTTGTAATTTTCAGTGACCATCGCGATTGCTAACATTTCTGGTGACTAGTTATTATGGCCAACAGTGAACACTTGTGGTAACTTCCAGTGATTAGTAAATTGACAATTAACAAACGCTAGTCATATTGTGGCGCGATGCGTGAATGACGTGTTTTTCTATTTTTTAATTGATTTGAATTGATAAATTATAAAAAAATTATTATGATTTATATTGTATTGTTTTAATTTAATTTTATGTAGTTTTATTAAATGATGAAAAATAAAATTATATAATTTTTAGAAAATTTTAAATAATAAACTGAAATATTTATTAACATAATTAATATTATTGTAATTCAAATTATTTATTTTCTTTTTAAATTATTTTCTACTATTAAATAAGGTATAATAAGATTTTGATTTAATTTTAGTAGAATAAATTTTTAGTAAATTGAAATTAGATATTTTTTTTATACTCGGGAGGATCAAAGGAATGAAATAACACTATGAACTATGTCCATCCCTTTTAAATAACATTCACCGAATTAATAATGACATTTTTGTGATGGAGAGTAATCAAAGTCGAAACCTCTTACTTTTATATCTTCTATTAGAAATAGACAGAACAATTAGGCCATAACCGATTGGCAAATTGAAATTATATTTTATTCTATTTTTACTGTAACTATATTATTTAATTAATATTTATTAACTATAGCTATATTATAACTCTATTAGATTTTATTTCTTTTTTTATAGAAATAACTATCTATTAAAATTTAATATTTATCAAATATTAGTTATAATGAATTATTTCATTAAGTTTATTAGTTTGTAATTCCATTATTTAATAAAAAAATTAAATGTAAAAAAGATTAATTATAATGAAAAATAAAATATCAATTAATTATAATGAAAAATAAAATATCATATCGTTATTAATTTTTATCATATTTTATTTATTTAGATAATATTAACAAGTAATAGTTCTCTAAAAATAAAATTATGTGGTAATGAATAAAACCTATTTTATAAGAAATCTAACTTTAGTATAAGTTCAATACACCCTAACTAAAATTTCATGCTTAAAAAAATGGTTAAACATAAACCTAAACTAATATTCCATGCTAATAACTAACTAAAAATTAATAATATTTTATTCATTAAATTAGATACAATTTAAAATTAAGATGCTATTGTAAATAGAATTGAAATCCAGAATACTAGGAAAAGAAAATTGAATCTACAGTACAATTAAAACTACCAACAAAATTTAGGTTAGGTTTTTTTTTTTTTTTTTTTTTTTTTTTTTTTTTTTTTTTTTTTTTTTAATGATTTAGCCTTCTATAATATATTAATTACTGTGTTCAAATAAAATAAAATGTAAAATAAAGCCAAATCATGCGAAGTATCAATTTTATGAAGGCATAAAATGGATCATGAAATAATCATTGATGCTTCAATTACACTATCGTTTCCCTGGCCTAACATAAAGATGTCAACTAGCGGCCATTTCTAGACTCAGAGTCAGAACTGATGCATTATATTTATATGTACATAATAACATTTACAATGGAGAACTGCTAAAAATTGACATTCCATATGTCAGATTTACCTTTACCATTTACC